TTATTATACTACCACAACCTAAGCACTAACCCTAAAACTTCTCACTCACACTCTCAGCCTCCACTATCACAGTATCACATTTCTCATATTCTCTCACCTCTCACCTCTCTTACTGGTCACAAGTTTCACTGATTTCACGGCTTTCACCGATCACGGACTCACGGTCTCTCAAGCTCTCAATCTCTCAAGCTCACTTGCTCGCATAGTCGTATGCTCATCATTGTATTATAGGTTTTCATTCGCCAGGTGTTGCGAGTTGAGGGCATTTTGAGAGATTTAACAACCATTTATTAATGTCGTTAAAGCTCTAAGTAAGAGGATGGTACCACAAAATTAATATATTTTTTTTTTTGTGAGGAAAATTAAAAATAGCAGCTTATTACTACAACTTTTAAACAGAAAAAAAGTATACATAAAAAAAAGGAACCGAGTACCTGGTCTTGGAGCCAGTTCCGAGTTCTGACCAATTCCGAAAATTCTGAACCCGGTGAAACCAGTTCCAAGACCAGTTCCATTGATATCAACCGGGTACCCGATTCTGCTCACCCCTATCCCCACCCCCCAATTTTGTTTGCAAGAATTGAGTGCAACAAAGTGGGAGCTGGGAGGAGTATGAATAGTTGTCTTCTAGACACAAGTAACCATAAAAACATACCTTGGACTGAGGGCGGTTACCATTTGCAAATAACTCTTGACTTGTCATATCCTGCAAATTGACTCAAATTTAGTAGTGAAAAGTGATATAATCCAACAATAAGGTTCAAACATTGAATTACTTAATTAAACCTGATATTAGTAGAATGTTCAAACATTGAAATACTTGATTAAACCATAAGTAAAATGTTCCCACATTGAATTACTTAATGAAACCTGATATTAGTAGAATGAAGCTATGTATATGAAGAAGATGATTGTAAATAGAAGACGTGCCAAACCTTATAATTTGAATTATCCATCTGACCATTTGCAGATGACACAGCTGATGGTGATGTCTGAATTTTAGGATGATCATTTGATCTAGAACCACGGCCACGGCCAGTTGGTCCTTGAGGCCTACCGCGACCTTGTTTTTTCTTGTTAGTATCAGCACCAGATTTGTGGGGTATATCTTCCACGGCCTTTGGCTTTCCACCACTGTCAACCTTACACATTCATCAAAGATCTGGTTACACTAAAATACTTCCTTTGTTTTGTTTTAGTTGCAACATTTTCACTTTTCACGTTTGCCAATATAAAACTTTATTTGTTAACATCTCTAGTTATGCATTGGTAAAAATATGATTTTAGTAAAGTATGAATTGAAACAAATCTAACAAGCTTCTATATGACTATGTTTTTCTTTACAAATATAAATCATGAAATGTGATTAAAGTGGAGTATGTAAATAGAACACACTATAGAAGCATTAAATTATATTAGTAATTAGTAATAGTAATCCCATGACAAGTGATTAATCAACCTAGGTTACAGATTGGTAACAAACAGAAATTTATTGTGTTTCAAGAAAAGGTCAATCTAGCACTAAGGCCTAAACATATATACCTAATCTACAGTCAAGAGCCAAAGTTGATGCAAAACCTGAAAGCTCATGGTCATGAAGAAATGAAGATCATAACTTGGCAGAGTATAACCTATAGTGGCATCAACCAAGACTTGGATTAAAGATTTGGGCTAAAAATTTATTTAGCTTTTAAACCGGCTATACAGGGCCCCCAAGCTTTATCACAGACTGATTTGGCCCTACCCCTTTTTATAGCAAGGTGAAAAAGTTCCCAAAATTTTAGCAAATAATAGCAATCTTTCTTCTACATGTCTACTAAATTAACCTAGTTTGTTTCAAGTTTGAAATGCCCAGAACAGCAATATAAAACAAAAACTATACACATTACAGGTCTCCTCTTTATCAAGTCATTTTTTTTTATCTTTATATAAGACTTCTTAATCAAATCTAAGTACTGTGTAGGAAAAGAACTACCTCAGCATGATCCAAAATAGATTTATTGTCCTCCTGAAGTTTTTGGCGCTTCCGAATGTTTGCCTGTATGAGGAATTCTCCGCCACTCTGTAACATAAGAAGACAAGAATATCCTCCATGAGAAGAGCATAAGTTAAATATGTAAGGCAATAAGGCATCGTTTGATGAAAAATAAGTAAGTTAAGCATTCAAGATTCAATGCAACATGCCAACAAGTATCATAACTCAAACAACTCCTACGCGGTCCCATTCCTACAATCACAAACCCCACCTCTTCCCCCCCTCCCCACACGAAAAAAAAAAAAGAAGAAAGAGAAACAGGTAATAACTTTGGATACGAAAAACTACAGTAGACTTCTAGATTACGTCTTTGACCTAGTTTAGCATCATATTATCCTCAGTTCCTCACAATTCAGGTTGTCATAGAGGTGTTCTATCAATCTTTTTCAAGATTAAGAATATCAGATATTCTGATTAATTATATACCTAAGTGTGACATGCCAAGATTTCCAATTCAGGGCCGAGGACAATGACCATAAGTTAGGCATGGATGTGAGGACATGGAAGTCATAAACAATGTCCTCATTCTAGAAGACTTTAACATGAGCTTTTCATGTAGTATATACATATGCAAACATTTCACGTTGAATTGTCAGTTAGTTCTTGTTAAGGTTCTCATACCATGCTCATTTTCAATATATGATTAGTCTACTCAATAAATCTTTTTTTACATTTTTCTCTAAAAACATAAAATAGCTTTCTATTTCCATCTCTTTTTAAGCATAAAGTATCCAACATAAAACATTAGATAAATTAAACATTGCAGTAACAAAGCTTACAACTATCAATACCATGGGAAAGCTTTCCCACTGTTTCTATAAGTTTGACTCATTTTCTATATCGGGGTGTTGCATTAGAGTTTGAACCACTTTTATTGTATTCCAATTTTGGCAACTGCATATTATTATCTTACCTCACAAAATTTACACATTTCCACTTACTGACTCTTTCTTTGATTATATTCACCTACCTTTTTACTCAAATCTCTCATACTTTATATACGATTTTCTTACATCTGTTCACTTTTACCAAAAATTCCTGGGAGCAAGAATCAAGGGTCGAAATTTTAGAAATATTGGAACTACAAGTCATTTTTATTAGAGGAAGTTTCAGAGTAGTTAGTAAGATGTTACCAAGGTAACTTCCAGATAAAAGTTCAGGATCAAGAACAAACATAAGGGAATTGGTTGAGTATTTAAATAGCACAATATGATCACACGAATTCATAATATTATATGAATAATCCTATTGTTTTCCCACTAAACAAGCTAACATCCTTCAAATTTACAAAGAACCCTCAAAGTATATGACAATTGGCTTGTTGGTTACTTAAATAGTTCTCGGATAAGCAGAAAGTTTCGGAACACCGACAAGAACTTAATAATGCACTTGGCGCACATATATTTCTAGATACTTGTAACTCTTCTACTGGCATGCCCTACAAAAATCATTTGGACAAAACATTTTGACCAACATACATCCCAATTGTATGTACTATGGTTATTTTATACAAATCTTAGTTCTTTATTTTAAAAATCTTTCTCTGATTGCTAAAGCAACAAAGATTACTTTTCAAACTTTCATATTCATATTCATTCAATACAAATACTACTAGCAAGAATTGCAACTATCATCAATCCTGCTTATTCCTGTTTCTAAATGACAGCACTACCTGTCCTAACCTTAACTCAAAGAACATTTCTAAGTTCAAAATACGAGTATACGAGTATATCACAATTGCATCAAGCAAATTAAACTGGCATAAATACAAGTTCAGAATATATATCATATACAAAACTGTAATATTTCAATCCGATATAATCAACAAAATAAACAGCCAACAATATACACTTACATCTTCATCGGAGTCACTGGAAGTCGATGCCTCAGGTACATTATCAACAGCATCGAACTTCGAAGAGCCAGCAGAAGGCCAAACAGTTTGGGCAGGTAAGGGCATTGAGCTGGGTCCCGAACCCGAAATCGATCCCTTGCCCACTAAACGAGCTTCGAGCTTAGCAATCTTAGTGGGCAGGGATTGATCAGACTGATTAGATGAGTTTGAAGAGAAATGGATCAACATATCATCCGACATTTTCGATCCAAACAACTCAGAAAGCACCAAGTAAAGTATCAAACAAATTCGTCAAAGAATGACTAGTAATAATTCAAAGGAGAGAGAAAAACCCTAAAAAAGAGGGTAAACTTCTGCTTATCCTGAGCATAATAAGCAGAAGGAAATTATCCCCAAACAACTTACTATTCTTACTATTGCGATAAAATCTCAGCATTTATTGAAACCCAAACTCCAGCAATTTGGGGAAATTGTGAAATTGCGAGAAAGCTTAAGCTAGAAGAAACATTGAGGAATTTCACACAGAGTAAAGTATATTATGTAGAAATCAATGAAGAAGAATCGAAAATAGAGAGTGTAGTGAAATTAAGAAGAAATTGAGCAAATTAGGGTATAATTACTAGAGAAAATTAGGGTTCTAGATGAATTGAAGAAGGGGGGAATCGGAAGAATTTGGGGGAAAAAAATGAAATGAGGAATTGAGATGCGCTGTGTTTTGGTATTGGAGGGAAAACTGAGAATTTTTTTTTTATTTTCCCTTTATTTTTTTTTTGCTGTTGCGGAAATTGGAGAAAATTTAGGTCTTAAGTCAAAATTAAGGACGTTTTTCCAAAGTGAGCCAATTTTGGCAAATATTAACCAAAATGGTTGCGTGGTAAAAGTATTTACCAAACTCAGGCTAAAACGTTGTCTCGGTCAGCGTTTTATGCCTGGGTTTTTTTTAAAAAACAATCAACCTAAAAACGTTGTCTGGAACAGCGTTTTTGTTGTTGACCTTTTTTTAAAAAAATTTTGTAATTGCCTTTTATTTATAAAAATGTTTAAAAAAAAAACAGTTATACCAAAGATGCTGTCCCATACAGCGTTTAACTCTGGAACTATAAACATTGTATGCCTGTTATCTGTATCGATGGGACGCACTTGTACGGGAAGTATAAAGGAACACTGTTGGTTGCTACGAGTGTTGATGCAAGCTTCCAAGTATTTCCTATTGCATTTGCGGTGGTGGAAGGGGAAAACACTTCCAGCTGGTCTTGGTTCCTAGGTTGTATTCGAGATCGTGTCACGCAACGGGATGGCCTTTGTGTTATTTCTGATCGGCATCCTGGGATCATTGCAGCAATGAATGATCCCAATGTTGGATTCACCCAGCCCCGAGCGTATCACAGGTTTTGTGTCCGCCACATAGCCTCTAACTTGAAGACTCACGTGCGAAGTAACGACATGAGAGACATGTTCAAGGCCGCTGCGTACCAAAGGCAAGAAAGAAAACTTCAAGCTGATCTGTGTTTCATTGGTGAGGCCTGTCCCAAGGCCATTGAGTACATTGCTCAAGTCCCGTTCCCTATGTGGTCTCTGTTTCACGACAGTGGTCGCAGGTATGGTATATGTACTACTAACTTCTCGGAGACATTCAACAATGTGTTGAAAGGAGCTCGGTTTCTACCGATTATGTCCCTTGTCGAGTTAACCTTCCACAGAGTTAACAAGTATTTCACTTTGAGAAGGGAGTCTTCTGAGGCTAGGTCTGATCAGGGACTTCCATACCCCCCAAAGGTCACTGCCATCCTCGAGAAGAACACCGCTAAAGCCAGATATCATAGAGTGGATGCCTATAACCGGCGATTGCATATTTACCAAGTGACAACAGAGAGGGGAGAGAGAGTTGGTAATAAAGGAGGCCACAAGCATACGGTGAACTGGCAGTTGAGAACGTGTACGTGCAACAAACCGAAGATATTCCACCTCCCATGTTCTCATGTGCTAGCAGTCTGTTCTACATACTCACTATCAGAACGGCCTTGGGTGGACCCTCTGTTGCAGTCGGCCGCCTACATGAACACCTATGCACCACAGTTCTGGCCGATCCCCTGCGAGACAACCTGGTCACAGTACGTAGGCCCTAAACTCATTCCGGACGGCACAATGATACGTGGAAAAGGTCGTCCAAAGTCGAAGCGCATACGCAATGAGATGGATGACAGCAACCGGCCCCCAACCAAATGCAGCCGTTGTCACCAGCAAGGTCACAACCACACTACTTGTCCATCTAGACCAACATAGGACCTAAGTGTATATGTGTTATTTGATATAGTAGTATGTAGTGGTGTTATTTTGATGAAACAGTTATAATTTTCTATGTTTAGGGTAAAATTACCCATGACAAATGGACCAATCCGGACCTGCCACGTGTCACCACGTGGGCCAATCAGCGTCCGCCACTTGTCACCCTAAGAGGTCCAACATGGACTAATCAGGTCACATCATGTGGCCCATTATTCGCCAACCTGAAAAACGGCCGTCGCAGGCCCAATTCCCGAGGCAAGCCCAATCAGTCCTAGGTTTTCCCAGAAAACCTAGTATTGGGCACGTAATTCGAGGCTATATAAACATGTCATTAGCCTCCATAAACAAGAGAATCATCTCACCTAGAGAAGTCTAAACACATTGATCACTCCTCCCCTAGAGGAACCAGATCTCCCACCTTTACTTTCCGCATTTATTACTCCTCAAACAAGTACTAACTTGACCGTTGGAGGCGGAGCTCCCACCACAAGGAGTCTCCGTTGTTTTGCAGGTACAGGCGCAAGGATACCAGTCCCGGAATTGTAACTCTCCCGCAGGACATCAGAAAACCCCGAAACATTTTGGCGCCGTCTGTGGGGAGAGTACTTTCGAGATGGCATCACAGTCTGTACCAATTTTAAGCGACAAGCGTCCCATGGACGACCCTCAGGTCTACACTGACCAGGATACTGATAATGAGGTCGAGGTGGAGACGCACATGGCCTCAGACGGGACCCTAAGGGCCCGACGTACCCGTCCCACCGAAAGGAGGGAACGGGAGGACTGCCAGGCTGGTCCTAATAAACCAACTGGCCCACCGCCTGAACATCAACAGGCGGCCGAGGGATCTTCCCCCATTACTAGGAACGAACTCATGACCCTCATGAGTAGTTTCAAGGGGGAGATCCAAGACTTAATCAATAAAAGGGCGTCTGTTCCACCAAAGGAACAATCGGCCAGAAGACCCTCCCATCCTGGGAGGACGAAGCCTGTTAAGGAGTTGGTGTCAAGCATATATGTTATTATTGCCAAATCATTATTATGAAAAAAAAAAAAGCGCTTAAGGTAGGCGCCTAACTTACTGATTCTATGTAAGCAAAGCTCCACTAAAAGCCTTAGGTGGCAATCCGCTACACAATTAAAAGCTTCTCCTTCTGTACATTAGAGAGAGGTGTCAAAGACGTGAGGCCCTTGGGATTTGACGCCTGCTTACATGAGTATAGCAAGCCCACAATCAAGTTAACCTTTGAATTTAAGAGGCGGCATACGCAACAAATGTTAGCTAAGCTCAAGTCCTCGTAGCCATTAAAACTAGGGGGCAAAGCTCCATGAGAAACAATCCAATCAACACACTCGGCACTACCGTTTAGCTTTGTTGTGCTTGTTCATGGGTTGAGACGTTAAGGGCAGCCAACCTACCTCTCAACTCCACACAAACAAACGACATCATACGCTAATGTTCAAGCTCCAGGCAGCGTTTACATTGCAACCGGCTGTGTTGTAATGTAATAAACAATGTAGCAACGTGAGTGCTTATGGCCAACTAAGCGAGATGCTTGTGGCCGCCTTATCTTGTGTGTACCAGCAAGTTGCCCAGCTAGTTTGAACATGAGCATGCAAGCATCAAAAATCAACACTCGTTTGGTTCAATGCAATCGGCTCTACAATCATTCAACGACAGCCTGCTATACATGAGCATGCGGTTAGCATACAAGCCAATTGTGCATACCCGAGTATTCGGCCAGAGCTACAATAAAACAGCAAGCCATGCCCGAAACATATTGTGCTTGGTTTACTCAAAGATCAGAGCAAGAAGAGCAAGAGAAGCCCGGGCATGCGAGCTTTTATTGATGGAACAGCCTTTAGTATGTGAGCCTACAAGCAGCCGACTAATTATTTTATTATATGGCTATGTACGACCTTAAACGCAAACACCTAAAAAAAAAAAGACCAACACCGACTGGTATTGTTGAAGGCTGCCTTGTGTATGTATCTCACGGCATATGGATGGCCGAATAATTCGCATTAATAAAGAAACAGGCGGCACCTGCCCAGCAATTACAGCCGCAACTAAACCAACTTATGGCCAGCCCAAAGCACTCAGCCTTGTGTACTAAGCGCAGGCAAAAGGGGCTTGTGTTGTATGTAAACATCGTATACAACTGCAACAAACTCGCAATGTGTATAAAGTAACACTCCCAAAGCCGACTCTAGCAGCCGGCACCTTGCCACGGCACCAGCCCTATCACACTCGGCAGTCCAACATCCAAGTGTCGTAGCTAACTTAGCATGACAAACAACCGGCTAATGATTTGTGAGCAGGCGACATTCACAATAGACCTGCCCAGCATTACACTAGGCGACCAAATGCCGAGGTCGAGTCGAGAAGTTTTAAACAGACACTATGTTCTTAGCTCCACATGAACAAACGGCTGCCAGCCCCCTTCCCAGCAAAAACAGTCGTCACATGTGAGCTCAAGCCAAGTGCTTAAAACCTTGAAGTAATCATGGGCAAATGCCATTATCATGCGAGACAAGGGCAGTGTACGCAAAACATGAACGTGTTGACATGCATGGCTGAACGCAAGGTGAAAAACTTTGGAATAGGCGGAAGCCACCCCACTTCCAACCATGCGTCCTCCTAGACTCGGCAAGCAGGCATAAATACCGAGCTCAATTTGAGAAGCCATGTTAAAACAAACAGCACTTGCAAGCAATTACAACAAGCTTATGTATAGCTTGGTTGGTTGAAATTCGGCAACTAGAGTCAAGTGTACGTATAGCATCAAGTATAAGGTGTTTTGACAAAACGACCGCAAAACAGCCAGCCCAATCCGAGCCACCAAATAGCCGGATTGATCACTTCAAGATCAAGCAACTCAAAAGGCCGAGACGAATGAGTTCGTGTGTATTTAAAAAATAGGCGGTTAGGCAGCTGTATTTATGTATGGGAAGCAATGAAACCGGCTGTTTAGCAATCAAGTGAATCCAACAAACCACTTTTATTCGATGAAAGCAGGCGGCATCCACAGCGAATGCATCAAGCAATACGTGAAGTGATATGGGTCTTCATGTTTTGTAATGAGGGTCGAGTCTTGAATCACTTTAGTCTAAATAATGCCCAACCCGATCAAAACATAATTAAAACAAGCAGCAAGCTGATCAAACGGCATCATGTGGCCGAATAAAAAATTGAAAGTTAGCTCCACTGAGAAGAGCAACTCGGCATCCTTACCAAAACACCATGTAAGTCCCAACTGTTGTTCCTACGTTCGAACTCAAAGCTAGCAAGTGGCCGCAACATCCGGTATGATAAGCAAACAACCGACCTATCTATGCTTGAACCAAGCCGGCCCCCAACCCGGCCACAAAGCATCCGGTTAGCTACTCCATCAAACCTCTCGATGCTAAGTAACATGGAGAGTGTGTTCATCAAGTCTCTTGGCAACTTGGATAGTCCAAGCATTCCTCAGGTCACCAAGCATCATTATTATGATTATTTCAACTGGACAACTCTCATAAAGCAACGTATAGAAGCAACGTACGCATGGCCCCAATTGCTCTCGTCATCGGCAGGATCAGCCGGCATCAAGTGGCTGGGAAGTCACAAGTCTTTGTACCACAAGCTAGTAAGCAAGTGGCACATACGTCCCTCTATACAAGAGGATCAGCTGGCCATCTTTACATGAGTATTGCGTAGAGATGGTTGCTCTAATAAAGTTGCGTATGCAAGAAACAATAGGCGGCCGTCGTTGCCAATTCACCATTGCAGCACCAGCCCTATCCCACTTATAGTAGGCGGCAACCGGCCACTATCACAGCCACAACATTAGGCGACATGATAACAGCCGATGACGGCTCTAAAACACATCAGGCTGGCTATACTTAAATGGTCGAAACATTTGAAAACAGACGGCCATAATGGACTATGGCCATAGGCCCTTGGTCCCTCTATGTCAACAGCAAGGTCACGAACATCATAAAAATAAGTTTAGCATGACCATCTGTTCCCATTCGAAGAAGTTAGAGTCATCAATCAAAGAAGGAGGCGTCCCAACGTCATCCACCCTCCATGGAAGGGAACTAACTTATCCTCAGAGGGGCATGCCACCTGTACCTTTACAGTCGGCTACTCTCCATTGAGTATTTTACTATATCTTCAGAGGGGCATGCCTCCTGTACCTTTACAGTCGGCTACTCTCCATTGAGTATTTCACTCTATGATCAGAGGGGCATGCCGCAGTACCTCTATAGTCGGCTACTCTCTGCTTTGATTATTTTACTCTATCACCAAAGGGGCATGCCGTCTGGACATACAATCGGCTACTCTCCATAGAAGATGGCCGACTGGTTCCAAAACAAACGACCACCCTCCTATACTTAGCTAAAAAATGATCAAGGCCTGGCCGACCCTGTGCCTAAACAGGCGGCTACCCTCCTCTTACCTAGCACCTACGTTCACCAAGAACTATCCAAGGCCAAAAGCCGAATGATCAGTCCAGGCGCCAAGCCAACTGATCCAATCTTTAAACTAATACGACCTGTCCCAACATCATAGCAGGCGTCCGACGGCATCCCTCCGGATGAAATTCGTCGCAGAGAGCAGCTCCCTTTTGGGTGGAACATTGCTCTATAAACTAATTACACGGCACCTATACGACTGTCCCCAAGGGCAACCACGTAGCCGTTTTTGAGACAAGGATAACTCTATCACTAACCAAACCAGTGGTAGCAGTTGACATCTGAGTCGGATGACCCCCTGTATTACTTGGGATAAATGCAGGGGGTACCTCTTGAGTTAATAGCCAACAAACATTGGCGAATCAAAAGGTTCGGCCGGCCTCCGCCGCCTGGTACCTTTACTACTCAAGCAGGAGTGACGGCGTCTGAGTAACACCAAAGTCAACTCATAGGCACTCCCTCAAACTTGGTATGGAACCTAAAAGGTTTGAGTAGACTGCCTGTTTTTTGGCAAACAGGGGCACTCAAACCCCTAT